CTACTAAAGGTAAATCTCTAGTCCCATCGCATATTAGTGTGTAATAGTAAAAATAATATCTAAATACTATAATTACCGACGATCAAAAAAATTAACAATCATAAGCTATATGTGAATAACATTGTCAGATATCCTATCATTAGGTAGGATTTACGCTTTCATATCCCAATTGATATCAACTAGTATTAACTAGTACTGCCATATCGAGTTAAAATGGACTCCAATAACTATAGAATAACTTTCCAATAACTTTAATTAAGAAAAGACACTAAAACGTAAATAATAAGTTGGATATCAATTTCTTTTTTAGGCAGATTCTAAAAAGTAAAAGTGAGATAACTTTAAAGTATAGTATGTAGTATCTAGAAAACAATAAAAGACATATAGTATACAGTTATTAAGTATACTTAAAACCTCGAGCACGAAATACCAACAAAGCTTTTCTTAAATTTCTACTGCAATAAAATAACCTATTAAGTGCTATATGTATATACATATATATGTACAACATATGTGAAGAAAACACATTTTATTGTAAATAATATCTATATATGTTAGAGAATTTTTAATTTTTATTTACATTACAATGTAATAACATATGTGAAAATAAACAATATTTAAAGTTTAACGAAATTTGAAATGCTTTTAGAAAACCTTTTTATGATATATTCATATGTAGCAAAATTGGGAAATATGTAAGATACACATAAAGACAGTTTTAAGATCTTTTTTATATTTGCATAAATACGAAATGTTTGTAATATTGTAATGATTTTTTTATTTACTCTCAATTAAATATTATTCAAAATTTATTTAGATAAAATCTCACACGAGCACTTTATAAAAGCAATGAATTTTAAGCATTTATATTTTCGTATATCTTATTCAGTTGAATAAAAGTAAAAGTATTTGTTTACTTTCACTTTCAATTCTACATTTACAACTCAGTTACACACAATGTACGTAGTATTAAGAGCACCGAACGGCCTTGGACCAAATTTCATATTTGAGTTGTCATCTCCCATTCTGTATTCATGAGGTTAAAACTCAGCCAGACTGCAGACAGAAAAGCAACAATTCAATGGACCGAATCGACGTAAAATAATTTATGTAATACTCATACCATCCCATACCATACAGCAGCGTAGCTAGTAGCATCCTCCAAATTTTCCTATGAAATTTTCCTATGAAGCTTGCATGAGGTATGAATTTATTTCAATTGTACATTTACTATTACTTTAGCAATTTTATTCTATTTTTTATTTCATGTACTTCTCCAAATTATTTTCAATAAAATAATTGAAATCTTTAAAGTGTAAGTAAATTCTTTGCATAAAAATATAAGGATTTAATTAGATTTTAAACATCACTTCTTAACTTAATACTCTTGAAATAAAGTTAAGGAAAAGCTTTCTATGAATTAGTTAAAATTATTAAAATTCTGATTGTCATCAATCTTATTTATTTTCGCCCCATACACCATTATGTTTTATGATACCTAAATTATTCTATATTTCTATAAAAATTACCATAGAACCAATAAAATGCACTGCTTATTTAAAGACAATATTCTGACCATTCAAAATTAATACTAACCTGTTTCCTTAAACTCTCAACCTCGTACCATGAATCCAAATCATCTATAGCATAAACTAGTATGAATGCGTCAGATGTTGTAATTGACAAGGCACGCATTGCTGGAAAGGTATATGAGCCGGAAGTATCGAGAATTTCTAGGACTAACATAGAACCATCTGGTGTATCATATTCACCAACATGCATTTCTTCCACAGTCTTTTTATAGCGTTGATGATATTGATCATATAAAAATTGATTAATGATACATGTTTTTCCTACTCTCGCACTTCCCATGAAGACTACACGACGCTTCTGCTTACACACTTGGCTGTTGGCACAATTATTACGTGTTGGAAACTTAAGCATGGTCGTCAAAGAGGGCAAACGAAGTCGTTGACATGGCCCTGGTATCATAGAAATTAAATTATCCATCGCAACAATAAAACGAGTTATAAAATCTGTTGTTTAAAATTTTTATTTCCACTTTGATAGTCCTTACAATGTAAATCCTTGAATCTGTGCCAAATTTAAATCACATCTAATTATTTTTTGGCATTTAAATTGGAGTCATTTTTT